TCATGAGATATAAGTATTTTAGTCTTTACAACTATATGCTTTCTTTTTTATTTATAACAATAATAAATTTATAATTTAGCTTAAAAAAAATTCTTAATTTTGGCCGGAATTACACCTAATACTTAGGCTGATCTACCTAGAGTTGTTGGTGAAACTAGTGACTATCTAAAATATGATTGGCTAGTAAATGCAATAGCCAATCAGATTTTAGATAGTCACTAGTTTCACTAGTGTGATTTAGTTTCACCAACAAGTCTAGACCCACCTATCTATCCAAAAATCAGATAATTTCTAGAAGCCCTCTAATCTTCTTCTTTGTCTTTAATATAATTGAAGTTACTAGTAGAAACATTCAGACGACCTCTTCTCTTAGAGAAACTTTTAGTAGATCCTTTTGAAGAACCTTTGGAAGAACCTTTAGAAGAATCTTTGGAAGAAATAGAATTTTTGAAAGAGCTTTTAGAATCTTAATTTTTTTGGCGATTACTTTTCGATGTTGTAAAGTTAGACATGCATCAGCGAAATATATTAACGTAATCTTATGTAGGTTACTATGCCCTGAAATATTGTGCAATAATTATGGTCTGGATATAATATTACACAAAAAGTTGCGAAATATTGTGTAATAAATAACGTAAAATTACGAAATATATTATGCAAAATTACTAAACTTATAGCACAATATTACATAATATATTGCGCAATATTTCAAATTAGTTTGAAACAATTCGAATAGACGTAAATGCATCAAAATAGCAAAATATTTATAAACTAAAAGATAGCTACTAAAGAGTAAGAAAGCTAATCAATTCGAATTTATCAGATACTATTCGAAATATTTCGGAAAATTTTGAATTAATTCAAAATAAATTAAATAATTTATAAATAATAGGAAATATATTAAAATACAATAATTATACGATTTATTAGATATTTTCGAATTAATTCGAAAAAAACTAAATTTATAAACTTTATTTAAATAAAAAAAATATAAAATTTATAACTTAAAATATATTTTATTAATAATTTTATCTTTTATTTATTTAAAATTTTAAAAATTACATAAAAAAAAATGCTAAATTATAGAAAATCCTAAAAGAAATATATAAAAATAAAAGGCAAAAAAATGCAGCATTATTCAAATAAAAAAAAATCAAAGCAAAAAAATAAAAACTTTTACTTATTATCATTCATATCTTTCTTATTATCAACCATAACTCTCTTATCATCATCATCATCATCATCGTCTGAGGCCAAATAATCATCATCTACCAGAATATTTTTGGCTTCTTCGGGTACTTCTTCTTGGTTAGTTGTATCCTCATCCGAACTAACTCGAACTTCTTCAGATTATTTTTAAAAATAAAAATTAAAATTAGCTAATTCAAAATATTGCGAATTAATTCAATTAAAGTTAAGTTAGTTAAAGTTTTT